CCCCAAAACCCCAAAACCCCAAAACCCCAAAACCCCAAAACCCCAAAACCCCTTTTTCTGATAGGCTATTGAATGGCATTTATATTCACGGTAAACTTAAGTTACCTCTTGCAAATTATTATTAGACTCCTCCACTTCGTTGACTAGTTGGTTAAGACTATCCTCAGGGTTACCTTCGATAGCCTGGCTCTCTTCAGTATTGAACACTTCGTCATTATAAGGCTGTTCCATTGGAGGCATATCTGCCTGGTGCCTCATACTGCTCTTAGGTAATGGTAAAGAAAACTGGCTTGTATTTGGACCTCCATACGAATTAATCAAGTCATCCAGCACTTCATTTGGCGATCCTTGGCTTGGTTGAGGTGCATCAGTATTAATAAAAACACTCTCGTGGTGAAAGCTAGGAGCTTCTTCCCTGTTTCGATCCACACCGAACCTTTGCTCATAAGGCGTTTTATAGGGATTTTCCAGACCAGGAGGCATTGTTTGGCTGTAACTGTAATTTGGAGGTAAAGAATTTCTCTTCCCTGCTCTTAAACTATTCAAAAGAGCTTTGCTCTCATGAGCAAGGGTGCTATAAAAGTCACCATTAGATGTCCTTCTATCCTTATTATTTTTCTTCCATATCTTGTTGAAGTTGCAGCAAGCTATCAAATGTGCTTCTTATCTCAGCTTGCTGTAGAATATTACTTTGCTTCATTGTATGTATTTTTGCATTCACTGCTCCTTCTCTTCTTCTGAGATCCTCTCTTAAGTTCTTGATATTAACATCATTGGTATACCCTTGGTCAATTCTGCTTCTCACATCATTGTCATCCTCCTCTTCGAGACCATTAAAGTCCTCCATCCTATCAATACTACCATCTTTGGATGACATTCTTGATTTATGGTACTCTGAGCCTTTATTGTGCTTTCTGCGCTTGGTAACCAAATAATTAACAGAGTTCTCCTTGCCTACACTGAAGTTATTATGTTTATTGCTCTTAGTGCCAGTTTCACGCTCGAATTCCTCACTCAGCTCCCTCAAGTCTTTCTTGATTTTCTCCTCAAGCTTAAGGTCATAGACAAGCTTCTTCCTCTTTTCTTCATCTTTACGGGTCTTGAGGCGTTCAGCTTGTTCGTCAAGTTCATGCTTCCATTCTTCCTGAAGCATCTCCTTCCTATGTTTCTCTTGGTTGTTCCAGGATAAGAACTGGAGGCCGATTTCTTCCTCGTTCAAGTTCTGCATCTTAATTCTTTTCATTTATTTCCTCAGCCTTCTGATGCTTCCCTTCTGAGTTTTGATTATAAAATGATTGGTGAAAGGATTTTGAAGTTGCCTCATCCATGGTTTTAAGCCGATTCGCGACTATGTGACCCTGAGCATCTCTAAGAGGCGCTCCAGCACCCATCTTACCGAAAGGATCAGATTGCATATATTCGTAGAGGTATTTATAATCCATGTTCTTCTTAGACTCTTTTTCCTTCTGTTTTCTTTCATTCTTTAACTGTATCTGGGCTTGGAGTTCAGCAGCTAGAGCTCGCTTCTTGTTCTCTTTCTGTATAGGTGACTCGTGCTCATGAGGGAGAATTGAAACAATAGTGCCAGCGGGAGAGCTCTCCCGCTTATTAAGACTATCATCTCTATATTTATCTCTTCCCGTTGCATCTTCGACTTTGATGTAAGAGAAAGTATCTTCTTGATGCCTGGCGGGAGAAGTACTCGAATTATCATCCCTGTATTTAAAATAACTATGCTTATATCGCTGTTTATGAGCATAGTCATTCTTGAAATTATGCAGAGAAGCAGTATCGTGATGACTATCATCGATTCGAACATGTTTACGAGTCCTTGATTTACTTTTCTCATCTTGCCTAATTTTTTCCCTTACATACTCAGAATATTCTTCTTTGAGCCTCTTCCTCTTTGGTTCACTCTCACTATAGCCCAAGATTGGATTGTAAGTAGCGATAGTGTCATTAGACCCTGATCTCGATCTAACATTTGACTCCTTTTGCTTGTGCTTTCTTCCATCTCTGGACTTGTTAACAGTCTACATACACATTATCCAACCCGTTGTAAACCTTTGCCCAATGAGCTTACCCTATTAACAGATCTGGACCTTTTCCTCTTAATTTTCATAATTTTTTCCTTCAACTTCAAAATCTCTTCTAAGTCTTCTTCTAATCTAAAAACAAAGTTATTATTCGAAAATGTCAAGATTTCGGTGGAAAATTAGGCGTACTGACTATTTTCAGAGTCACTAAGATCCTCTCGCTCACTCATTTTATTTATATTTCAATTAAATAATTGTGAAAAGGGGTTTTGGGGTTTTGGGGTTTTGGGG